TGGGTAAGTGAGTGAGGGTATGGGTGAGTAACTGGGTGAGTAAAATTACTGGATGAGGGATAGGTGGGTGGGTGAGTGAGTGGGCGAGTTAGTGAGCGAGTGAGTGAGTGACGAGGAGAGTGACAGGTCAGGGAGTGACCAAAATAACTTAGTCATTGCCATATCATCAGTCAACCCAACTACGTTAGTGTGTGAATGAGCGATTGTGTGGGCGAGTTACTGGGCAGGTGAATGAACTCAATGGGTGACTAGGTGGCTAATTGACCGACACTTCATGTGGCCTTAACGTACATATAGCCTGGCACAATTGCCGTGGTTACGTCACCGCCACTTAGTTGCGAATAGCGGTTGTTGTGTTTCTGTGTGTGTGTCTGTGTGTTTGTGTCTCTGTGTGTGTCTGTGTGTTTCTGTGTGTGTGTATCTGCGTGTGCATCTCTGTGTGTGTCTCTGTGTGTGTGTGTCTGTGTGTCTGTGTATGTGCGTGCATCTGTGTGTGAGTTGGTCATGATTCTGGAATTTAGTCTGGAGTGATTGGAAGGCATGGGCCAGATCAGCTTAATAACAACGGTAGCAGATTGCTAGATTTTTGTGCAGCCCATGGGCTTGTAATTACCAACACGCTGTTCCGGCATCGGCACATCCACACAACATCATGGATGCATGCTGGGTCCAAGCAAGAACATCTGCTGAACTACATAGTGACGGAACAGCAGATGTGGGCCCATGTCCTTGACACCAGGACCTACCGTGGAGCTGATCTGCCCTCTGACCATCGACTTGTCATCTGTAAGATGCGCCTGCCATTCTTCCACTCTGGTGGTGGGTGTACACCCAGGACCCCATTCAAACCTAAGGTGGCCTGGTCTCAGCTAGCTGATGAAAGTTGCAAGCGAGAATTGGATCATCGCTTGTGGCTGGGGTTGGCATCGTCCCCCACTCCTCCAGATGTCGAGGGTAAATGGGCGAGGTTTAGGACTGTGACTCAGGCAGCTGCAATGGCTGCTTTGGGTACGCAGTCCAGAACTCCCCAGAGACCCTGGTTGACAGAGAAGGTGTTCAGGATTGATGAGAAAAAGCAACAGGCCCACTTTAATCGTCTACAGCATCCCATGTCAGAGAATGAGGAGGCTTACCGCAGCCTTTGCTCGAATGTTCCGAGAGCCGTGAGGTGCTGTAAGAATGGGTGGTGGTCGCGGGTTGCTGAGGAGATGGAGTCTGCCTCAATGGCCCACGATTATAAATCCCTTTTTAACTCCATCAAAAAAGTTACCTGCAGCGCCACACCTATTACCATCATTAGGGGAAAAAACGGTGATCAAATCTCCGACCCCCAGGAACAGGTTTGTAGATTTGCTGAGCAATTCTGTGAAGTCCTGGGGGAGGTAAAATCCCTTGACATGGAAAACATCGTAAGACAGTGCCTCTAATATTGGAGGAAGAAGTTACCCCCTGTGAGTGGCTGGCTGAGATGCCTTCTATTGAGGAAGTACTAACGGCGATCCAGAGTTTGAGATCAGGAAAGGCACCGGGCAGAGATGATCTGCCAAGCGAAATTCTAAGGGGGGGGGGGGGGTGGCGATTGTGCAGAAACTGCCTTACATGATATCATAACAACAGTCTGGAACACAAGATGGGTTTCACAGGATTGGAAGGATGCCCTTGTGGTCCCCCTCTTTAAGAAGGGGGACCGCGCAGACTGTAACAACTACATGGGCATCTCACTTATAGGTGTGCCGGGAAAGGTCCTGGCAAGGATTATTCAACACCACCTTGCCAGGCACGCTGAGGAGAGGCTTGCGGAGCCCCAATGTGGTTTCAGGAAGGGGCGGTCCTGCACAGATGCCATATTTTCTGTCTGTTTGCTGCAACAGAGGTGTACGGAATTCCCACAAAATCTACATCTCTGCTTTATTGACCTGGTCAAGGCCTATGATACCATCAGTAGGCCTGGGCTCTGGTTTGTTCTTCGTGCTTTCGGGGTCCCTAACCCTCTGCTTACGATCGTTAAGGACCTTCATGATGGTGAGGGGGCCCGGGTAATACTACATGAATGGGAGTCGGAGCCATTCCCTGTTCACCTTGGAATGCGACAGGGATGTCCTCTGGCTCCCACATTATTTAACATATTTTTCAACCACGTAGTTCATGAAGCCTTTGATGGCTGTACCAGAGGAATTTCCATCTGGTAGAGATACAATGAGAGGCTGATCGATGCCCAGGTGTGGTCAAGGGATGGCTCCCTATTGGTCAACCACGTTATGTATGTCAATGATTTGGTAATTGCCACTCACTCAGAGGAGGAGTTGGAGGCGCGTGCCACTAAGAGGTGGGGCCTTACCATGAGCCCCACCAAAATTAAGCACCTGCCTGGGTATTTTGTACCATTGGACACTCCACCCCCACAACTCCAAACCGGTGATGGGGCAGTTGTGGAGAGAGCGGAGAGTGTCCTATACCTGGGCAGTGTGCTCATGACCGGCTCTGGTTTGACAGCAGAGGTCTCACTCAGAATCAGTCCAGCGGCATTATATTTTCACCGGTTGCGTAACGCAACCAGTATGAAGCTTCAAGTCTTCTCGGCCACGGTCATTCCCTCCCTTTTCTACGCTTGCGAAACGTGGACCCCCCTAATGGAGCATCTTCGCCGATTATAAACATTTAGGCTGGCCTGCCTATGATCCATCCTGAGTTTAACCAGGCTGGATTGTGTGAGGAGCTCACAAATCCTTGAAAGATCTGGGCAAAGTCTCATCGGTGAGCTCCTCCAGCAGGCAAGGCTGCGTTGGCTGTGTCATGTAGCCTGCATGCCCAGTCACCGCATGCCTAAACAGCTTTTGTTCTTCCAGATAGAGGGGGCTAAACGGGCGCGGCACAGGCTAGAGAAGAGATGGAGTGATGTGGTACAATAGGATGTGGAGCTGAGTGGACTTGCCGATGACTGGTACCAGCGGTGTCAAGATCGGCCTCTGTGGAGGAGGCTTGTGAAGGACGCTACTGGGCAGTTGGAGGCAGTCGCCCTCCAACAACAACAGAGGGTGGAGGAGCGACGCTCACAACAACGAGCGGAGCGCCGGGTGGCTAAAGCACAGCAAGTTGGCACAGTAGGGGGCACAGGTGGTGCATCAGCCAGTCGTCTCAGTCAGTCCACCTGTGGCACCTGGGTCAGCTCCGTGACCTCCTGCCAGCGGGCGTTTGACACTTCACATGGCCTCAAGGTGCACATAGCCTGGCACAAGCATCGTGGTGACGTCACCTCCACTTAGAGGCGAATGACGGTTGTTCTTGTCTGTGTGTGAATCTCTTTTTGTCTTTGTGTGTCTCTCTGTGTGTCTTTGTGTGTTTGTGTCTCTGTTTGTGTCTGTGTATGTATGTATCTGGGTGAGGAGTGGAGGTGTAGTGGTTAGCACGCTGCACTATGAACCCGGCGTCCCGATTTCAATTTCTACTCATGGCCAACACCAGTGACGATTATCGGAACCGGTCCTGTGCCTTCCCTAGGTCGACTCAGCCTCAAATGAGTACCTCGTGCGAAGTGAAAACATCGCCATTGGGGAGACAATGCGGCCGGGCGTGGTGTTGGCCACCCATCCCCTCGTGTGCCGTGCCAGCCTTTATAGTTCTGTGCAAACAGCATTTGCCCCTACAGTCTGTTCAGGCTCCATGGAGGAGCTTTGTCTTTGTGTCTGTGTGCGTCTGTGTGTTTCTGTGTGTGTTACTATCTATGTATGTGTGACTGTGTGTTTGATGTGCATCTGTGTGTGTGTCCATGTGTCTCCGTACTCTTGGTGGTGTCGCCTGCCTCCAGCAGTGCGAAGGGGAGGTGCTTCTGGACGGGGTGGACAAACAGCTCCACGTCACGGTCCATATTGAACCCTTCCCCCAGAGACACCTGGGCACATGATGGGGGTGGTGGTGGAGCGGCAGTGTGAAGGGGAGGGGAGGGAGGGTGAGGGAGGGTGAGGGTGGGAGGGAGGGTGAGGGAGGGAGGGTGGGTGGGTGGGAGGGAGTGGATGGAGAGAGTGGAGGGAGGGAGTGGAGGGGAGGTAGAGGAGGAAGTGAGGCCATCACCGCTCATGGCCACCACATAGATCAATAAAAAAACGCAATCCGGCACAACCCCTGCGCAATCCATAACTATCTAATGCAATACAGATAATAATAGACACCCACAGAGGCCCAGAGACTAATATAGAACCACTTACAGGAAGTTTCTGGTTTTGTCCGGGGGAAAAATATATATTTCAAAACTTGTCTACTCTTAAAATATATAACATTTACATACACAAATATTATGCTATTATGAAAGCCCAGCATTCAATTTGTCCATCAACAAAATCATGAGAACCTTTCAGAAGTCCTAAATCTAAAAGTTATAGAACGTTGTCGACCCCCATGCCCCAGATTTTTTTACCTCCCCGCCCCCACCCAAATTTTTATTTATTGTGCAGGCATGTACACCTACACACCATACGTACAATATAATTAGTCGTATCTACTGACTCTATATTAGTATCTACTGACTATAGTAGTATCTACTGACTATAGTAGTAGCTACTGACTCTATATTAGTAGCTACTGACTATGGTAGTATCTAATAACTCTTTAGTAGTATCTACTTACTGTAGTAGTATCTACTTACTGTAGTAGTATCTACCGACTCTATAGTAGTAGCTACTGACTCTATAGTAGTATCTACTGACTCTACAGTAGTACCTACTGACTGTATTAGTATCCATTGACTATAGCTGTATCTACTGCAGCTATAGTCGTATATACTGACTGTAGTAGTATGTACTGACTGTAGTAGTATATACCGACAATAGTAATAACTACTGATTCTCTAGCAGTATCTCCTGACTCTACAGTAGTATTTACTAACTCTATAGTAGTGTAGTGACAGGATGCCATCTGGTGGCCATTGGGGCTAACTACGGGTATGGGTGCGTTATCGAATGACACATTTTAAGGTGACCACAAGGGGGGCGTAACTGGGCCAAGCGTCAAGGAGGAGATCGAACTGGAAGCTCCAGGGACCCGCGAGAGAGTTCCAAAAGAGGCCAAGGGCAATGGCGCTGGACGACGACGCGCTGGCAGCTTTCTGGGCCATCCCAGCTGAAAAACGGGCCACCCTCCAACAGGTTTACAGCCAATGGTGGCTGTGTACAATCTGCCTTCCAACACGTGCAGGAAATTCTTGCAGTAGAGGTGAGGGGAGGCCGAGACGCCTCTTGCCTACCAGAAGAGGCATACCCGGCGATGAACCGGACGGCACCACAACTCTCTCATCATGGAAAGGATGTTGGGGCTGGCGCAAGAAATGGGTGCATATAGAACCACAGAGTCCCTACGAGACCCAGACACTCAAAAAGAACCATAGAGACACAAAGAAACCCACATACTGAGGCGAGGTAGTTAACATTTCGTCAGGGTAGGGATTGGAGTCCACGACCTCCTGTGCACCAGGAGAGGTAGTTAACATCTCCTTGCCGGCACGTAGCCACTCTTGCCTGAGCCACAGAGTTGTCGGGGCCCGAATAGGAGACCGGCCCAAGGTCACAGGCCGAGGTGACGGCAGCTATGCCTCCGGGAGCCTCGGCACGGAGACGAAAGTCCATTGAGTAGGGCAGCGGCTGGGAGCAGCTCACAAACGGCACGGAGCGAAGAGCGGAGTCCGCTAATGATGATGCGCCTGCCAGTGGGAGGGAGGGAGGAGATGGGGAGGAGAGGGAGCAGATGGAAGGGAGGGCGGAGATGGCGATGAGATGGGGAGGAGATGGGCAGGGAAGGAAGGAGATGGGGAGGCGAGGGAGATGGGGAGGGGAGGGAGATGGGGAGGGGAGGGAGGATTGGAGGAAGAGAGAGAAGTGTTCACACAGAGCTCCTGATTTCACCTTTACAACGTTTTTATTTTCACTCTTGTTATTTTAGCCTTTTTTATGGAGAGTTTATCTCCCATCAGTGTGTTCTTTGCGTTGAGTTGTAAGTTCAACTGCCGGGCAATAGATGGCAGTGGTGGTGGCATCTACATCTGCAAAACGTGAAAAACCAGTGGCATCTACATATGCAGAACACGAAGAAGCAGTGGCATGATAATAGGTTTTTACCCTTTCATCTGCCAATAAAACTGACACCTTTTCACAAGGGATCATGTTTGCATTAACCACAATACCTGTGGTCAAATGCAGGTATTGTGGTTGTGCAAACATGATATATGCTCTATCCACAGCTTGCCTACAATCTTGTGCACTGCCCACTCCGTTCTGACACTTGGTCTACGACCACTTTTAAGCCTTCGAGGCTTACCCCATTTTTCTCTCCGCCTGATGACGACCACTTGTGTTGCGATCGAAGTTTTTTGTTATTTTTTTTAACCTATCTACGTGACTTTACTGAAAGACCCCAAAGAATATCTTCACCAATTTCTTCGATGTTTTCTGGGAGGAGATGCCATGGGGGAAAAAAACGTCTCTTTAATAACATAGCCCAATATTGGGATATAGGAAAGATAAACGTACAAAAAAATGTGTCAGTTATATGCCTGGGAAAGTACCCAAAGCATTGACCGGGACATTTCTGAGGCTGAGAGAGGGGTCCATAGTATAGAGCAACAGCAGAAGATTGGGGACAATCCTGACCTACTACATGAATATATGGAAGCCATGGGGTGTCTAAAGAGACTGCAGAAAGATAAGGCAAATGGGGCCTTTATACACTTTGCGTTTAAATACACCATTAATATGGACTCTCACTCAACACTTTTTCTCATTAGGGAAGCAGAATTTTAGGCACAAGGCTATGGAGGGGCTGTTTGATAATAATTGGGTCGTTGTATCAAACAATGATCAAAGAGCCCTCAATAGTTGCTGAATATTATAAGAATCTCTTCTCCCCCAGAATGTATATCTGCACAGGCCCAAGAGGACATCCAGAAGGACCTGCCTCCTTTGGGCGAAAAAAGACAGAGACAGCTTCTTGAAGGAGAGGCCGAGCAGAGAGACCAGGACATGGCAGTGACTGCTCTGGCCAGGAACACATCCCCAGGGATGGACAGACTGACAGGAGAATTGTATTAGAAATTTGGCACTCCCTGCAGGAAGACGATGACGTTGTTCTAGAGGAAGCAGTGGAGACTAGCAGTCTTGGAGGACAGCCGTGCTTACATTTTCCAGCCCTTTAGATCGCAAGTTTCCCATTGTTTGTAACGGAGTTCACAAAGCCCCTCTGCCATAATTTTGGTGTCTACATTCCCTTATTTTTAAAAATAAAAATCGTCGGGGAGAAATTAAGTTTAAAATTCAGCAAGATGTTGCATGGGAGCTTAGCGAGCGAGTTGAGGCTTTTACAATGTACACACTACTGTTTTAATTTCACCACAGAATAAACATGGTGAACATCACCGTTTTAAAAAAAAACGAAACGTGATCTTAGCCCCCTAAAAATCTGGCGTCCGGTCTCAGTGTTGTGCATTATCGTGAAGGCTGTGTCTGCAAGGCTTAAACCGGTGTTGGCTCAGCTTATTGGAAATGACCTGGCATGCACTGTTCCAGGGAGGACCATTCACGAATGGATTGTCCGAGTCAGATATCTGATCACTTTGTCTGAACATTGGGACTTTTCAATCTCTCCCTTGTTTGAGAGAAATATTTTGACATGATTGACCATGGTTATTTGCTGGGCCCTCGAAAAGCTTCTGGATTTGTAGCTAACTTCATACAATGAATCGATTTGCTTTATAACATTGCCCAGTGTCTAGTCACAGTTAACGGTGCACGAACTGTTCCTCTGGATTTCAGAAGAGGTTTCCGGCAACGGCTGCCATATGTCATGGGCAGCTCTACACCCTCATTGTGGAAACTTCTCCACAATTTCTTCAACAAAGCTCGCTGGCTTCACTTTGAAGGAGCCCAGTATAATGTGCATACGGATTCAACTGTCCACCTTTCGCTTGCAAGCCGTGCAAAGGTTTCAGTACACAGCCCCCATCACCTGTTTGTGTTTCACAGCATCCTTTTTTATAAGTCACCTGGTGGGAGGGCTGAAGTACAGCAAGCGGCTCTTCTATATTTCCATTACAGGTATCCCGCTAACGCAGATCCCCCCTTTATACAGACGTGTCCTACAGTCCTGGGCTCTCTTCGTCACTAACCGAACGAATGAACCCCCGGCCAGCATCAGACATCGCTCTCGAAGCGTTTTTGGGGAATCATGATACGGGACTAACCCTCTCTTGTGGGCTTAGCCATAAAGAAGCGTCACGTTCGATGCGTGTCTCACCAGGGTAGGCGATCTGGCTGCAATGACGGTGCTGAATTAAATAAGAATCGCCGCAAAGCTTATGAACGAGGTGCGCAAGGCTCAGCTCAAAAGGAGTGGGAGCATGCCTGCCCTGAGTATTGGTGACGTGTCAGCCCCTGGTAGTCGAGTGTCTCCAGAGATAACTGTTGAGTCGGCAAGTAAAGTACCCACTTTCTCTTCTCGCAGAGCGGCCGTACTGAGGTCGCGCGAAGGCCACGCTTGGAGGGACTCGATGTCCTGCAGTAATTGTGTAACTCCTTCACTGGGAGCTGTTCTCACCCATCATCTGAACGCCAGGGTGGCCTCAGGTGGAGCACTGCCCATGGTACGGTGACCATAGATAATTTTCTGGCACACTTCAAGGGACATCGAGCCAGAATGTTTATTCCGTGGTGAAGTTGAAACGGTAGCCCGTCGGCGTGTACATTGCAAAAGCCTCGATTCACTTTTTTAAGCTGCGACGCAATATCTTACCAAATTTTAAACTTAACTTCTCCAACAATTTATATTTTTTGGACATAAAGGGAACGCCGATACCAAAGATATGACAGAGGGGACTTGGTGAACTCCATCCTAAACAATGGGAAACTGGCGATCTAAAAAGTGGCGAAATGGGCAATTGAAGGAAACGGCTTTCACAGTAGCCACTGTCGCAACTTCAAGGGCCTGGTTTCTGCCCGAATTTGACTGGAATTTCGCCACGCTCAGTAGATGGGGGTAGGTGAGGGATGGTCGTGTGATCGTGTTAATCACTGTCATCAGGTTCACAATAGGCCGTGTCGGAGACTGAGCCAGCAACGGCTCACGTCCTGGTCTCTGTTGGTGAGTTCACAATGGCCACATTGTTATCACTGCGTTATCACCGCTGTGTAGAAGTGATCTCACCTGGCGGCGTGTAGCGAGGGTTGAGAACCGTAGGCAGGCAGAATCTCACCGCTCCGTCCGGCTCCACCGCCAACTCGCTCACAAACTCCACCCGCAGCTCCGCCCCCTCGCCCGCCCCCAGGTTGCCCAGCATGCATTGGAACACGTCGCCCCGGTCCTCGGAGAGCAGGAAGGCCGTGTGGCCGGAGCTCAGCGCATCGTCGTACTCCTCCTTGGCCTGGGGATACGATGCACCCCGTGGGAGACATGATGGCACTCAATCATCCACTCACACATCCACCCATTCACACATTCAACCACTCACCCACCCACTCAAATACTCACTCAGCCACCCACTAACTCACTCAACCACTCACTAAAGCATTCACTAGCACACTCACCTACCCACTCACTCACAAACTCACCCACTCATACACACTCATTCACTTATTCATCCACCCACTCACTCAATAGCCCACTCTCCCACGTACTCACTTGTTTATTCATTCAACCACTCACTCACCCACCATCCCACTCACTCACCCACTCCGCAGCTCACTCAGCCACCCACTCACTAATTCAACCACGCACTAACTCATTCACTAGCACACTGACCTACCCACTCACAAACTCACTAATTCAACCACTCATTCATCCACTCACTAACTCACTCGCCTACTCATTCACAAACTCACTCACTCATTCAACCACTCATTAATCCGCTCACCCACTCATTCATCCACTCACGCACTCACTAGCCCACTATGCCACTCATTGAACCACTCACTCACCCACCTATTTACCCACTTACTCACTTGTTTATCTAGCAACCAACTTACGTGTTTACTAATTTAACCACTCACAAACCCACTCGTTTACTCATTCAACCACACAGGCACGAGCCCACAAACACAACCACTCATCCACACTCACTTATTCAACCACTAATTCATCCACTCACTCACCCACTAACACAGCTTCTCACGCATCCACTCACCCACCTGTTCACTCATTTAACCACTCCTTCATCAACTGAATCACGAGCTCGCTCAATCATTCAACCACTCGTTCATACACTCACTTAGCCATTCACACATTCAACCACTCACCCACCCTCTCACATACTCACTCAGCCACCCACTAACTCACTCAACCACTCACTAAAGCATTCACTAGCACACTCACCTACCCACTCACTCACAAACTTACCCACTCATACACACTAATTCACTTATTCATCCACTCACCCACTCACTCAATAGCCCACTCACCCACGTACTCACTTGTTTATTCATTCAACCACTCACTCACCCACCATCCCACTCACTCACCCACTCCGCAGCTCACTCAGCCACCCACTCACTAACTCAACCACGCACTAACTCATTCACTAGCACACTGACCTACCCACTCACTCACGAACTCACTAATTCAACCACTCATTCATCCACTCACCCACTCCTTAATCCGCTCACCCACTCATTCATCCACTCACCCACTCATTCATCCAGTCACGCACTCACTAGCCCACTATGCCACTCATTGAACCACTTACTCACCCACCTATTTACCCACATACTCACTTGTTTATCTAGCAACCAACTTACGTGTTTAATAATTTAACCACTCACTCACAAACCCACTCGTTTACTCATTCAACCACACAGGCACGAGCCCACAAACACAACCACTCATCCACACTCACTTATTCAACCACTAATTCATCCACTCACTCACCCACTAACACAGCTTTTCACGCATCCACTCACCCACCTGTTCACTCATTTAACCACTCCATCAACTGAATCACGAGCTCGCTCAATCATTCAACCACTCGTTCATACACTCACTTAGCCACTCAATCATTCAACCACTCACCCACCTACTCACCGTCATCCACCCACTCGTTTCCTAATTCAACCACTTACTCACCCACTCACCCACCCACTCACCCATTCACCCATTCACCCACCCACTCACCCATTCACCCACCCACTCACCCATTCACCCACCCACTCACCCATTCACCCACCCACCCACCCATTCACCCACCCACCCACCCATTCACCCATCCACCCACCCATTCACCCATCCACCCACCCATTCACCCATCCAAAGGCAAAGACAAAGATCCCCTGTCTACATTTAACATACTTTTAGGGCAAGTGCTGTTAGCGAGCCTTTGTCTCCTTAGCGGCGATGCTCACATCACACCAGGTACTCACTTGAGGCTGAGTCGACCTAGGGGAGGCCCAGGACTGGTTCAGATAATCGTCAGTGGTGTTGGCCGTTAGTGGGAATTGAACCCGGGTTCGCCAGGTTCGGAGCGCAGCGTAGCGATAACTGCTACACTACCGCTCCCCACCCATTCACCCACCTTCTCCTTTTCCTTAATGACGGCGTCGATGTGGCGCCCGTTGAGGCTGGCGCTGAACGCGTGCACCGCCGAGTCGTCGTCCAGCGGGAACAGAAAGGAGGCCTCCACGGGAAAAGCCTCAGCGTTGAGGTAGCTGAGCGTGGCACGCACGGAGGCCACGAAGCCCTGCACGCTCACCTCCACCGATATGGCCTTCAGCGGCACCGCTGTTGAGGAGAGGTCAGGTGAGGTGAGGAGCGCTCAGGTGAGGTGAGGTCAGGTGATGTTATGTGAGTTCAGGTGAGTTGGGGTAAGGTGAGGTCAAGTGATTTGATGTGAGGTTGTGGCAACAACTCATGCCCACTTAGTCACTGGCCCCACCCACTACGACATAGCCACGCCCACTCAGCCGCGAGCCCGACCCATTGCTCACCACATACAAACACACAACTAAAACATCCATAATATATATTTTTTAGGTTAAATCACGTAAATATAAATGTGTTGTTAAACCCGCCACCACCCGACACAGCCGATTAGTAAGGTTCGTTACTGGTGTAGTGCCGTAGATGGGCCGCACTTGCCGGCAGTGGTAGATGTGGCCCATTTGCAGGTGGTACCTCGTACCGCCAGGGGAGGAACTGCAGTGCCAGCCCAAGAGGGGAGGGGCTGCTGGGGGCTCAGGATCCCAGACAGCTAATCCCCTCGGCGCCCCCAAAGGAGGGGGGGGGGCTGCGGGGGTTCTGGGATCCCACGCACCCCACCCCTCGATGGGCAAGGGGCATAAAAGGGCACCTCCCCAGCCGATCGGGACCAGTCACAGCCGACGAACCAAGACCAGCCAGCTTAGGACCCTGGACCCCCTCGCCCGCTGTCCTTGTAAGCGCCGGGAAGCTGTGCGGGCCAGTGGTGGGACTCTGGGACTCCCGGCTCGACGCCCTTGTAAGGGCAAGGTCCGAGGAAGCCAGAGGTCTAGACCCGCACCTTGGCTGGGTCGCGTCAGGTAGCCTCCCCTAGGGTAGTCATAGCCGGAGGACCCGAGAGCGTAGCCAGAGTCAGGCACGCTAGAAGTAGGCTGTGTCCCGAGGCTGTATCAGGACTGTTGGCGTGGTGTGTTGTAATAAAGAGTCGCCTCTACAAGTGTCTCCGGAAACCATTACACTGGTACGGCACAACGGTGTGTTGGAGAGTAAATCCACAACATTTTTAATTTGAGTACAACGTTTCGCTAGTAATCACAACCGGCATCATCAGGCGACAGCCATATTTGTGGAGAAATCCTCCTCCTGTTTCGTTCCTTAAATAGAGGGGTAGATTAACACGTAGGCTTTCACGAACAATATCATCCATAATAGAGGTTGTTTCAGGTTAAATCGCGAAAATATATAAATGTGTCATTAAAACCCGACACAGCTAACTAGTAATGGTTGTCACATAAACAGAGCATGTCAATTCGTCACTTGTACAGCACACCGGTGTGTTGGAGTGCTGCAAATCAACGGTTACAATGATGCACATATCAACAGGGCATTGAATGCCAAAACCAAATCAAATAACACGAGCATTCAAACTGCCCATGGTAATTAAAACGATAAGAATACCGTGCATTGCGGGAGTAACTGATAAACTAGCCAGCTATTTGGAAAAACAAAATATCTGAGTCAGATTTGGAATGGTACATACAAAACAGAAATGTATATATGGTACCAAAGATGTATTACCGAAGCTATCAACAGAAGTTGTGTATAGGATTAAGTGCACTTGTGACAAATGTTATGTTGGGCAAACAGGACGTATGATAAGCACGTGACTAAAATAACATCAGACAAATATTAAATACTCCCAAATACAATTGTCAGCAGTAGCAGAAAACGTGAGTCAACCAGGACACTGAATTGATTGTGATAATCACTATGGGAACCTCATTTGCCAGTAAAAATATGATAATTGGTTTTTTACCCTTCTATCTGGCAACAAAACTGACACCTTTTTACAAGGAGTCATGTTTGCATAGACCACAATACCTGCAGTCATATTACAAACAAAAGACATAACTCTGATAATGTGCACTGTCCTTGAAGTTGATTGGTCCACACCTGAGACGGCTCTAAGGAAAGCTCACCTTTCTCTTGGTACTCATGAACGAAGATGAGTCCACGATGCATGATTGCAGATGGAGATTCCTGTGTGTGTGTGGGGGGGGGAGAGAAACAGCGTTGGGAGGGCAACTCACTGGCACATACTAAACACGGGCATAATGACTTTGAAAACCCCCTGCCCACCTCCTACGCATTTCACAAGTAGTGACCAATCCCATATCTGCATTTCCCATAAATATGCTAAATTTCTCTTGATATGCAAATTATTTTGTCAATGCGCTCTTCCCCCTCCAACCCAGCTTAAATATACGCTGCCAAACATGGTGGTGTTCATTTAGACGCTGTCTTTCCGACAGACCTGTTTTTCACCTGAGGACGGCTGCTTGCATTGTGGCCGAAACGTCGTGAGAATTATTTTATTATGTTTTATTTTTATTATTTTATTATTTCCCGTCTACGTGACTTTACCAAAAGAACCAATAAGATGAATCCCTGCAGTCAGGAAAGCTTTAAATCGAAAAATAAAAACTACATTTTTTTCATTTTAACCAGGTAACGTCCCACTGAGCTGCTACGTCGTTCTTTTTCAGAAGCCCTGACCTGGCCATTACAAATGATATCAGCTCAACCAAGTCGTCTGACATCGATATCATGAAGAAATTACACATGCATAGAGACCCATGTTGATCACAGAGACACATGGAGACTCAAAGAGATACATAGAGACCCACAGAGATACATAGAGACCTATAGAGACACATAAGACACACAGAGTTACATGGAAATACATCTAAAGACAGACACATTGAGTTACATACAGACCCACAGAGATACATAGAAACACATAGAGACCCACAGAAACACACAGAGACACATACAGACCCAAAGAGACACAGAGAGAGACATCGAGACACATGGAGACATGCCGTGATACATAGAGACACTTAGAGACCCACAGAGATACAGAGAGCCACACATAAATGCATAGAGACACACAGAGACATGTAGAGACACACATGAGATACATTGAAACATAGAGACCCACAGAGATACATAGAGACGCATAGAGATACGTAGACATACATAGAGACACAGAGATGCACAGTCACACAGAGGTACATAGAGACATATAGAGATATACAGAAACACACAGAGATATATAGAAACACAAATAGACCAAGATACCAACAGATATACGTAAAGACCAACAGAGATACATGGAGACACTCTTAAGATACATAGCGACACATGGGAACGCATTGAGTCAGATACACATTAGGGACCCACAGAGATACACAGAGACACAGAAATACATAGAGACACACAGAGATATGCAGAGGCACACATAAGATACATAGAAACATAGAGACCCACAGAGATACATAGATATGCATAGAGATACGTAGACATATATATAGAGACACAGAGATGCACAGTCACACAGAGATACATAGAGACAATATAAGATACATAGAGAAACAGAGCTACATCGAGACACATGGGAACGTACTGAGAAAGATACACATTAGGGACCCACAGACCGAACAAAAAACTCAACTCAATTGTGACCAGATGAGGCCCCACTGAGCTGCGATGTGACTCTTCTGTGACAAGCGACGAGGCCACACGTAATGCCAGCTGCTCAACCAAGTGGATCGTCACGTGGGAATGTATAGCAGAAGCATAATTAAATAACTTTAAACGCACGCGTGACGTTGATTCTTAACGAAGCGGGGAAAACCCACCACAGGGAAAGAGAGAGAGAGACGCAGACTCCAAATATACAGCAGCAGCAGGCGTCGTCAGGGTCGGGATCGAACCCACGACCTCATGTATAGCAGGCGAGGTAGTTAGCATCTCACCTATATACACAGAGAAACATAGATCACCCGTGTAGCCTCTAACAGACTGTATGGTCAAGTGCTGTTAGCGAGCACCTATACACACAGAGACAAAGATGCCCCGTGTAGCCTCTAACGAACGGTAAGGGCAAGTGCTGTTAGTAGAGAGTAGCAGCACCGATACACACAGAGACAAAGATCCCCCGTATAGCCTGCAACGTACTGTTAGGACAAGTGCTCAGTAGAACCTATGAAGGCCGGCACTGTGGCACATGGGAAGGTGGGTGGCCACACCACGCCCGGCCACCTTTGTCTCCCCCAATGATGATGTTTACTAAACAAAACTGCACCAGGCACTCATTTGAGGCTGAGTCGATCTAGGGGAGGCTCAGGACTAGTTGGTCAGATATTCGTCACTGGTGTTGGTGTTGTGCGATGAGAAATGAAATCGAACCTGGATCTGTGCACGGTTCGTAGCGATAGCATAGCGCTAACCGCTGCGCCACCACTCCCTGTACTTTGACAAAGATCTCGTGGCTAACCTCTGACAGATTGTTGGGGAAAGTGCTGTGAGTAGCGAGCAGCAAGCCAACACACCCCCTGTGTGTGTTCCACAGTGGCGGGCTTCAGAGGTGTTGCTGTTACTCATACGACTAACAGAACTTGCCCCTACAGTCTGTTACAGGTTACACGGGCGATCTTTGTTTTTGGTTGTGGTATGCAAATTTAGCCCCGTGAGAACTCGTTCCCTGTAAGACCTGCCCATAGACTAACACTGCCCATAGACTAACACTGCCCATAGACTAACACTGCTCATAGACTAACACTGCCCATTGACTAAAACTGCCCATAGACTAACACTGCCCATAGACTAACACTGCCCATAGACTAACACTGCCCATAGACTAACACTGCCCATAGACTAACACTGCTCATAGACTAACACTGCCCATAGACTAACACTGCCCATAGACTAACACTGCCCATTGACTAAAACTGCCCATAGACTAACACTGCCCATAGACTAACACTGCCCATAGACTAACACTGCCCATAGACTAACACTGCCCATAGACTAACACTGCCCATAGACTAACACTGCCCATAGACTAACACCTAGTAAAGTCCCCCTAAGCCTGCTGATCCAGGGTGTGTCCATACTGGCGCTTGTGAGATTCCATTATTGGCTGCATTGCCTTGCATGCCGTCATTCGTGATGGCGTTGGATTGTGGGCCCAAAGGGTTTCGATCACGTTCGTTTGATCCCTTTATGTGACTGTCTGGAATGTGGGTCTGACTTGGTGCATCCACGTCTGACCCCACGTGTGCGACGCTGAGTCGGCGATTGACTGCCAGGGCAGGTTATGCATTTCCACCATTCCCGTACACAGCATTCATGATGAATCGGTGTGAGGATGGTGATGCCTGAACGTCCACCCTTTGTTCAGTGTCGTTTGGTGGGGGAGCATTGGTGCATTGTTCAGACCAGTCCAAAATATATTTTCTGGTGAGTTGATCATGGTCCTTGACAGGCGTCTGAGTGCCAAACTCACTCCAATCCTCTTCCTTTTCCAGATGGCCTGCTGCTTTGAGCACCTCTGCTTGGGCTCTAGCAGCAGCTGCTTCTTTTTTGAGCGGTAGGGTACTTAGCTTAGCATCCAGCTCAATTTTCTTCCGTGTGGCAGTAGCCACGAATACACTCTCTTGCTCTCGTGTGGTAGCAGTTGCTAGTATACTCTTTTGCTCTGTGAGCTCTGCTTTCCTCCGTGCGGCCGTAGTTGCTATGCTTGCTTCTTCTTGTATGCGGGCCTGAGCTGCTGCCATACTAGTAGATGATGTCTTTGAGTGAGCTGAGCCTTTAGATCTTGTGGTGGACCTGGATGAGACAGAGTGCTGAGATCGTATCTCTCTTAAGCCCTCCACCCGGTCCATTGTATCTTGTATCACTGCCTGCACATTATCATCGAGCAGTTCAAGGAAGTGCTCTTGCATGCGCACTCCCTCAATGCCCTCATCTGTTTTCACCTTCAGGAGGGAGATGTATTTATTTGCCAGTAGCTTGTAGCTTGAGCTGCTTACCTTTACATGCTGGATGGCCCGCTGAATTGATTTGAGGCCACTGTGTCTGAGGCGTTTGAAGCTTCAGATATATCTGCTTCAACCCAGTCCCATGCCCTTTGTATCCTGGCATCAAGGTCCTGCTTCTCAGCATCATAGCTTTCCAAGGCCCGTTGTGTCAACCTGACCTCTCTTTGGGGCCTTGAACTCCCTTGGTCCTCTTGCGGCTGGATGGGAGGTCCTGGATTGCTTAAATCACTTTCTTCAGCATCTCTCCCTGCTAAACTGTGGTTTTCCATGCTGCGATGCTTGCAACACGATTTTAATGTAGACCCGTTGCAGAGCTTCTTGCTTGCTGCAGGCTGACTGCTTGAGAGCTCCTTGCTTGAGGAGCTGGTGGGAAGCTCCAAGAAGAATGTCTTTTTACTTGCTGCAGAGCTGGTTGGGAGCTTCAAGAATAATGTATTTTTACTGTCTCGGCCTGGCTGTGCGCTGCGTTGCACCACTATCCGAGGAGTTAACCTCGCGTCCAATAAACCCTCAAAGCCAGGGTGAACGTCTGACTCCAAACGTCATTTATTGAATTTAACGAGGTAAAACTGTTAAGAAAACAGCACAGATACAGCATCTGTTAATACCCAGAAACACCAATACAATGAATGAACACCACAGCATCATAACATTGTCTTAGATAACATGTTTCTCAACAATAGATCCTGGATGGACCAGGCACTTACATTACCACTGGATAGCTATACAAGAGCATAAGCTACTGTGTTACATAAAGGCACATCGTGTATTCATCACACTGCACCCCAAATGTACCGCACTACATATAACACTTAACTGTGGACGAGACGTTATGTTATCCTTGCTCTCAAGATCGCAATATAGTTACTTGGGTACAAGTTTGACTCGACTTATTCGATTACAAGTAACATTCATAATAAGGCAAGTTGCAGGCTTCGTTGTTAAATATGCCTCGTATTTATCGTAACAATTTAACAGCATTATAAAGGCATTTACAGCATTATAACGGTCATTCTAACATTATAACAGCTTTCCCAGTATTATAAGAACATAAACGAAGTTACAGACAATGCGTCTTAAAGTCCCACATTGGACAATTAGAGTTGTCTTCACTGGGACGCGATGTGTGCCGCCATTTTGCACCCTATGTGTAATGGCCGACGCCCACGTGGTTGAGCGGGAATTTCAAATCGCAACTTCCTGGTCACATGACCAAACTCAGCATCAAAAACAGGAAATTCCTGTGTACATACGCCCCCACATCTGCCGTGAGGCAAAACCCCTGCCATGAGGCAGAACAATCACTGATTCGACATCTTTGATCGAACCAACCAAGCAGTTTTCCTTAAAACCCTCTGCTGCGAGACCACCCAGATTGTATGGCTCACCCCTTCGTCATATCGTCTCCATTGACTCACCCACCTACAAAATGGCCCGATTTCTGTCTGAGAACTTACAACCATTCACTGGTAAGACCACCTCAGCTGGAATCAACTCAGCTCACTTGGTATCGTTAATTTAGGACATCTCACTACCTCCAGGTGATTTGCTCATTAGTTTCGATGTGGTCTATTTGTTTTCCAAAGTTCCTGTACTTGATACCATTGCAATCATTGAAGATTTGATCCAACAATGACTGAATGCTGATGTACCAGCCCTGGTGAGACACTGCCTCACCAATACTTACTTCACCTGGAATGGAACATTCTACAAACAAGTTGAAGGTACCCCAATGGGTTCTCCCTTATCTCCAGTTCTAGCCAATGTTTTCATGGAAAATTTTGAGACAGATGCCATCCAGGCATCCACTCTACAACCATCCTTGTGGAAGAGGTACGTTGATGACACGTTTGTCATCTGGCCACATAGCCGACCAGCTCTGAACCAATTCCTCTACCACATCAACTCCATACACCCAGCCATAAAATTCAACATGGAGGTGGAAAAGGATGGCAAGCTACCATTATTGGATGTTATAATCTAAAGGAGATCAGATGGCTCAATGGGACACTGTCTACAGGAAAGCCACCCATACGGATGGATATCTAAAATCTGACTCCCACCACTATCCTTGCCAGAAGAATTTCCTCATCAAAACTCTACACCAGCGGTCCCCAACCTTTTTGCCACCAGAGACCGGTTTTGTGGAAGACACTTTTTCACGGACCGAAGGGGTGGGGGGGGGGGGGTCATAATTGGGTCTTTCCCCCTTTTCAAAGAAGCTCTCCAGCAACGTTTGTTTCTTACTCATCTTGGCTAGGGTTAGCTTGAGGGCTTACCAAAACTGTGATTGAGACAAGGGCGCAGCGCGGGAAAGAGGCGCGGACGGAAGTGGTAAATACAATAATGGGCGGGCCATGTGCGGACTCACCGCTCACTTACTGCTGTGCGGCCCGGTTCCTAACAGACAACGGACCGGTACTGGTCCATGGCCCGGGAGTTTGGGACCCCTGCTCTACACCATAGAGCTCGATGTATTTCCGACCATTATCACCTATTCAGTGAATTGGAACACGTACACCAAGCTCTGAAGATGAATGGATATTCAGACTACACAATCCATAAAACTATCACCCCAACCGATGGGAAAGACCCATCTGAGGACCCAATCAAAACCATCACCTTGCCATACATAGCAGGGGTCACCAAACATTTTTCCAAAATCATGAGCAAACACAAGATCCAGATTCGATTTAACACAGTATAATAAAATTCGTG